TACATATATCTAACTGTTATGTTTGGTCATCCACGACACACACTGTTTTCGTTATGGTCGGTTAACCGATCAGTAATTTTAGTACTAATGCAACGCACAAGAAAAACTCTCAATACATTCTTGTTTATCAAGTCATGTCGAGTCCTCTTCGGTATTGCTTCCTTATGAGCAAGTTAGAAAGACACTTTGAGACTTTTTGTTCAAAGTTCTTCATTAAATATTTTTTCACAAGTTTCCAAGTAAAATGCTCTTACCTATTCATGAATCAAGCAAATTGCGCTTTTATTCATTCTAATTAATCAAGAAACTTCACAATATTTGTTCTTCACTAGTGCCATCACATCTTCGGTTAGATAATCTTTTACTCATGAATCGGTTTCCAATCTACTCTTCCCTCAATTAACTGTAAGGATTATTTCGTGCATTACTATTTACGGGTCTAGTGAGAGGGAGAAAACTCAAGAATTTTTTGCAACTCCTATGGTTTGTTCTTTTATTTTTTCCTGTCAATGTGATATGATTTTGTTTAAGCAGGAGATATTTGACTCATTGGCATTACGGACACGGTAAAGCAAGCAAAAACCATGGGGCTGGTTCTACTCTTCATCCTGTGTCCGTGGGTGGTTTATTGTTTTGACTTTTGAGATTGGTATACATGTCCTTTTATAAATGTTTTAAATAATGTTGTCACCTTTGATGTTTCTGTGATGTCTCTTTGATGACTACTTATACTACCTATATTAAGAGTTAGAATACTTCTAGTACTCAAACTTAATGAATTTGCTTTTTTGTCTATAAAGAATACTATATATTGCACAATAATATATAAATACAAACTTTTCATATATTAATTTTTTAAACAATAACGATTTTTATATAATACTGTTTTTATTAGCAAAATAAATATTCATTAACGGAGTATTAATAGCACTCAAGCAAATTACAAAGGAATATCACATTAATTTCGGCTGTATATTGTACTTAATTTTGCATAACTACAACACTTACTTCCTGATGTTATTATCACTTATGCCAAACTTCTCTATAAAATACAACCAAAATACATAGTGCAATGACTGCAGATAATTAAACTGAGGAATCACATTATGATATACAAGTCGGGATTAGAAGCCCAATCATATAGAGAGAAAGAAAATTCTACAAGCTTTGTTTTCATTTGATACCAAGATTTGAATTTTATCAATTCCAACAAGCCTCTTGCAGATTATATAAGTGATTGTCGATGATTATGCTTTTTCTATTTATCCATGTAGAGTCCACATAGCAGCAAATCATAAGTACAAACCTTGCTTTCTATGATATATTAAGCGTGCCTCACATTATGATATACAAGTCGGGATTAGAAGCCCAATCATATAGAGAGAAAGAAAATTCTACAAGCTTTGTTTTCATTTGATACCAAGATTTGAATTTTATCAATTCCAACAAGCCTCTTGCAGATTATATAAGTGATTGTCGATGATTATGCTTTTTCTATTTATCCATGTAGAGTCCACATAGCAGCAAATCATAAGTACAAACCTTGCTTTCTATGCTATATTAAGCGTGCCTCACATATTTCAATAGTAGTTTTACATCTCTCTCTTATTATTTCACTTATCATGTCTCTCAATTTTATTTTTCTTTTCTTTCTGCATCATCCTACACTTAAAAAATGGGGTGTACAATAGTTATCACTTTTTTTCTTCAATTATTATATATTTAACTAATTAAACTATATATCCTTTATATATATGTGTGTGTGTGTGTGTAAGTAGTAGAGAGTAAAAAATGAGTTTTGGCTCCTGAAACAATTTATCCAAGTCAACCTACGTTTATTATTGTTAATCTTATCAGTTAAAGTAAATTGTATTCTTCACTCTTTAAAAAAATTTCATATTTTACATTATCATCTATTTTATTTTAAAATTATATAACTCATTTTTTTAAAAAAATAAAAATACATAACAAATTACCAATACTCGAATTTTTATTTTGTATATGTTAATTACATAATTTTTTTTCGCCCTTTATCTTTTGAAATTTTAAAACTCTCTTAATAGTGATAGATATTTACTGTTTTATGAAAAAAAAACATATTAAAATATTAACAAAGAAAGCGTAAAATTTATAAAAAAATATTTTAATAAAAAATGTCAAACAAATATATAACAACACTTGAATGAAAATTTAAAAATAAATTAACAGTGATCTATTTTAATTTTTCAAAATAGAGAGTTATATGATTTTAAAATAGAAAAGTTGATAATATAATATGTGCATCTTAAAAGGAGAGAAATGTAATTTACTCTACCCTACTTGTTTAGCTAGATTCTCTTGACTTCCTCCTTAGCAGGTAGCACCAAACTCAATCCGTTGCAAGTCTTATGACCCATCTCACAAACTTTCCTCTCCCCAGGTTCATATTTTGATCCGCTATCGTCGTTGGTCTCTTTTCTTCAACATTGACAGTCGTTGCTTCTTTTTCTTACAACTGTTGATTGCATTGGTTGCGTGTCTAAGTCGTCTCCATTTGCTCCTTGTCATCATTTATTGGAGGGTTCATCTTAATCCTCCTTTGTTCGTGGTTTATTTGTTTGCATACATTGTGGGTTTCCTTCGTCTTGACCTTGTATTCTGTTGTTGTTCGTTTGCTTATTGCTTCCATAACTACTGATCAGAGTGTTGTTGTGTTAATTGATCTTTGTTGTGCCTAATTCGTTACCATGAAGAGTCCTTTTTCGTCTGTATTACTATTGAGCCTAATTTTATTGACTTAATCATTTTTAACAGCTTAATGACAATAATCCCAAAACTATATTATAACATGACTTTTATCACAAATGAGAATTCCTTTCTCTCTCTCTCTCTCTCTCTCTATATATATATATATATAAAATTAAAAACAATTCTAAGACAATGTTATACACGCGCACACACAAATACAATTTTCATATTTTTGTGTCATCCAAATAAGAGGTGACCATCTTTCACAACTTTATTTCTTATAAACTCCCTTTTCACTTTTGAAAACATGATTGTATAGAAAGAATTAACAACAATAGTGGAATAGTAAATGTTTTTCATCGCATTTTAAAACTAAAAAAAACTTGTATCATCAATATACTACTTGCTCATTTATCTTCTCACTTCCATCTAAATAACATATCATAAATTGAAAAATTATTCACTATCCTCAATAATGTTGCCTCCATAACAATCTTCGTTTAATAGAGATATCATCTACATGTCAATAGAAGAAAGTAATTGAACCGTGGCATATACTTAAATCTTATATGAGAAAAATTGTTAAGAGAAATAAAGTTTCCTATTTTTTTCAGCAACTGTGATGCATCCCAAGCTTATCAAAATAATAAAAGAAAGAACGTTATTTATACACAATCAGATGCATACTATTTTATAGAAAAATGAAAAATGAAAATGAAAATAAAAAGAAAAAAATAATAAACATAATAGTGGTGATGTAATAGAGAAAAAATATATGAAAAATGTAAAATAAACATAAAAAATAGAGCATAATTATAATTAAATTTTATTTTTCACTTTCCCTTTTTGTAATATAAGAGTTGTTGGTTTTAATTTTTAGTATAATGATTTTTTTTAAAAATGAAAACTATTATATTTGGATTAATGTTATAAAAGTAAAATTGAATTATTTGATTTTATTTAAATGAAAAAACATAGTTACTTTTAAAATATAAAATATATTTTATAGATCTTACATTCAGAATTAATTTTGTACAACTACGCAGTTAATATTATTTTCACTCTTTCTAAAAATCGGTTGTGTACGTTCACTGTAAAAATATTTAAAAACAAAATATTTGTGTGAAGAACATGATGCTATTTGTGAAACAAATTTTTGTGGCCTCAAACGTGAATTTGGTGCGAACCAAACAGGAGCTTTTCGATTCCACGGTAGATTAGAGCCTAAATTTATAACTTTTTTATATATATAAAACCCCTTTGAATTGTCTTCTGTTCTCTTTAATATTTTTATATAATCGGATGAGAAGTGGACAAAGCTGGTGTCAGAAATCAAAGTTTTATCTTTTTTAAGAGAAAGAAAATTTTGAAAAAAGGTAAACCGGCAGGGGTATTTGGGTCAATTTAAAAGGAACTGTCATTCAAGACTACAGGGTCAAGAAACAGAATCATGTTATTCCCTCATTTTTACCCCTTCAAACTTTTTCCTGTCTCCATCCAAACCTACTGTCCAGCCTTTCTTTCCTATTTCCTCCAAAGCCCTAATCTCTCTCTCTCTCCCTCTCTCCCTCCCTCTCTCTCCTACCTAGCAGTAGTGCACAACACAAGGAAGAATATTAACACACCCATTAACAAGTGATGATGTGAGTTTGCTTCACTCTTTAAAGGAAAAAAACCCAATCCCTTAGCAATATCAGAAACCCAAGCTACTAAAAAAAACAGACGCTGCCACAGCTATAGCCTTAGGAGCCTTCTAGTATTGCTCAATAAATACTTTCAACTTGCTGCAAAGAGCAAAGAGGAAGGGCCACCCACTCTCCCATCAATCTCATCACATTCTCAACATCAAAAAATCTTCTTTTGCTTCACCATTTCAGGTACATGTGTATTACCTCTCTCTCTTCCATTTCTTTCCCCCTTAATAAAAATGAAAAAAATAACCCCAAAGTCTGTAATATCAATCAACAATCAGAGTTTGTTTCCTTTCCTTTTTCTTTTTTATTTTCCCCTTTAAGTTGTTATTTTCATTTACAGTAACTTCTAAAGGGAAAAAAACATTAACAAATAAATTATTCAAATAAAAGGACATTTCCTCAACTGTTATCCAAATTATAAGTATAGTAACTCTCCATCTCAATTAACCTTCACCCATCTCTCTCACACTCCTCACTCTGGTCACTGTCTTAGGAACCCTAGAACAACAACCCAGATTACTATTCTGGGCTGTAGCCAACACAATTAACCTCGGATCTGTAAAGAAAAGCACAAAGGCCATGGATTCAAATATTCAAGACTTTATAGACACATGTAACTCTGACAACACCTGCAACCTCACCAACACCAACACCAACATCACCAACTTAACTGCTTCTGCTACCTCTTCCTCATCTGCTTCCACTTCCATCATCAACAACAACACAAGCAGCCGCTACGAGAATCAGAAGCGCCGTGACTGGAACACCTTTGGACAGTACCTCAAGAATCACCGTCCCCCTCTCTCCCTCTCCAGGTGTAGCGGTGCACACGTCCTTGAATTTCTACGGTACATATACATATATCTATATGACAATACAAACCCTCTTTTTATTTCTTCAAAATAAGCATAATAATAATAATAATAATAAATACACACACACCATGCACCTCTTCTCTCTCCTTCTTTGTGCATATATATGAATATAATTATATATCATAATCTGATTTTCTTTATTTTTGTTTTCTAGTTGAGTTATTAATTATTGATGTGTGTGTTGGTGTGAAGGTACCTGGATCAATTTGGGAAGACAAAAGTGCACACACCAATTTGTCCCTTTTATGGGCACCCGAATCCTCCAGCTCCATGTCCATGTCCTCTTAGGCAAGCTTGGGGAAGCCTTGACGCGCTCATAGGTCGTTTGCGTGCAGCTTTTGAAGAAAACGGAGGGAAACCTGAAGCAAATCCTTTTGGAGCTCGTGCTGTGAGGCTCTATCTTCGTGAGGTTCGTGATCTGCAATCCAAAGCAAGAGGAATTAGCTATGAGAAGAAGAAAAGGAAGCGCCCTCCACCGCACCAACAATCCATGCCACTACCTCCACCAGGTGCAAGTGCAACTCACTAGGAGAGTTTTCACTCCATGGGAAATTCTACTCTCTCTCTCTCTCTCTCTCTCCCCTTTCACTGTCACAAGTTCAAAACCTTAATCTCCAAGAGGTTTTTCTTCTTTTAAGCTCAACAAGCTTTTAGAATCATGCTTTAATTTAGTATCATATGTAGGGTTTTTTTTCTTCTTTTTTTCTCTGTTAATTTTTCTCAAAGCTGCTATATCTGGTCCATATAGACTGTTTGTCTTTGGATCCTGTTAGCTATTGCAGAAGCAAAAGTTTAAAATTAAAATCTGGGATATCATGCATCTCTGCTTTATAAGCGCACAGTGCGGTACTGGTAGTAGACTCGTAGTGGGAAGTACTGAAAAGTGGTAGAGAGAGTGAGTGAATGAATATACACGGAAACCATGATGATATATCCTTGTGAGCAACCAAAAGCATGGTATTATTATTATAATTATTATTCATAGTTTTATATATATATATGTACTTCACAGGTCAAGCTTAGACTTGCAGATTAATTATGTGCCTTAATTTGATCATACTAGCTTTTGGGCCGCACATTATCTTAATTTTCTTTTTTCGAAGCGTTGAATTTTACTATATTTGCTAGCTAGCAATTTGAATCATTTGATGTCATATGATTGTTTGAAGTTTGAACTATGAGGTTACAGGTAGGAAGTCACTTCCATACATAGTTATTTTTCGATAACATTATTTTTGCATCTTCTGTTTCGGATATTGATGATCATTTTTTCCGTATCTACAAATGAGTATTACCCTTTCTCAACCTCCTTTTTTCATCCCAGTTGCCACTTCTTCGCTTTACTGTCTCCTCCAAATGTTTTTTGTGTGGAAAGAGAATGATAGAGTCCCTAAAGCTTAATAATCATATCAAGTTCTGTTTCAAACTGACAAGTTTTATTCTCTCTCCCTTGCCACTAACGGCTGGCTGATAAATAGATCAATTTGATTGATGATGCTGATTCATATTATATGCTGTGGAAGTGGTGCTGTCATTTCAACTGAAGGAAAATTGCAAAAGCAACTGAAAATTAATGGCAGACAATGTGATTAATTCCTCCATGACTAAACCTTCTATTATTAGCTTAATATATTGTTTATCATCCTGATTAGTATCTTATTTATGTTTTTCCTTTTTTTATACATAATACCTTATATACATGTTTAGGCAGAGTTCCAATTAACAAAACCTCCTTGTAGATCACGATGCATGCTATTAACTCACATATTTTCGTAATTTGAATTAGGTTATGCCTGCAGATGGCAAGGGGGCTTTTTAAACTATACTCGTTTATCAAACAAAAGGGTTTGTCAAAATTATCCACCAGTAAATAACTTTATTTTAAGTAGATTAATATATTTTTAATAAAAATTTAAATATGAAATTAATATAAAATTTTGATTTCGTTAGTTTATTTAGAAGTTATTTATTCTATGAAATAAATTAAATAAAATTTAAATTAAAACAAACAAAATGTTGAATGATGTGGCAATTAGATTTAAACTTGGATTATCACCCTAGGGGGAAGTAGTCAGAAGCAGAAAGCTTGTTACCTTCAAATCAAATGCTTATATAACGAAGTTTAAATCTAATACCAAGCTAATGAGGCAAACTTGTCTTAAAGGGTGAAGAGTCAACAAATAGGTCAATAAATAAAAAAATTGGAATATATATATATACACACACACACAAAACTTAATCAACACCAAACGTGCAAATAGAGTCGGTAGAAATTTTCTTAATTAACTTGGCCAACAAATTGGTCTGTTAAATGTTGGGTGATGTATCTCCTTTGTATTAAGTTATTAATATTTTGGGTGAAAAGGAAGAATTTTCTTCAATCCCTCTGATCATGAAGAGGCGCCTATGGTAACTCCAATCGGCTAAGCGAAACCCAATAAGACAGAGGATTTATGGTGGAAAGATAAGCTAACCTTCTTATTTTCCTTTATGAAGTGATTCTAGTGGGGTATATATGACACTACCACTTCAAAACATAGAGGGTCTATTCTTTCCCTTAATGATTCAGGTTTACATTTCGTCAGTTTTGAGTTTAGGCAGTTTCTGTATATACCATTAAAGCATTATATATAGCTTTATGATGCTATCATCATTATTTAACTTTGATAAATAATCATGTTGTTAATGCAATTGACATCGTACTGAATTAATTTCATATTTTACTATCATTATTTCAACTGTAAAGAATCTTTAACTGCTAAATATCGGTTTTACCATTTAACAGTAAAGACAAATATAATTTACTATTATTAGAAAATTTAGATTGAAAATTTAAAAGAGAACTTTTAAAGCAGCAATAGTGCACTCAAATTGGCATCAAAGAAACAGTTTTTATAAAAGAAACAAAAAAAAGAAGGAAATAGAACGTACGTGTTCGAATTTCCGCCGTTAGTTTATTTACTAATTGTTCTGTTAATGATCATAATTCAGAATTAAATATGTGAAAATAAATTTTCTACTAATATATAATAACATATTATTTTCGTATTTAATATATTAATAACATATGTTAACTTTTTAATATTAATTTATATTTTTATTAATATGATATATCATTTTTTTTTGCTAATGATATATCATATTTTAATATAAATTCTTTATATTAGACTATAGTTACATATATTAATTTAATATTAGATTAATAATGAATATTATATTTGTAGTGATATAATTGTCAGTAATTAATTACAATAATAATATTTAATGAAAATGATACTTTATATTAATTTCATTTAAAATTTATAATATAATGAATTAAAACTATGTCTACTGACGGGTAGAGTGCAAGTTTTTTAGTCTTATAAATGAGTGTGACATTAAATAAAAAATTAATAAATATTTTTTGCTAAAAATTATTCTAAAAAATGTAATAATAAAATATTATATTAGTTTTTCCAGTTACTGCCCTTAAATATTAATTAACATTATGATTTTTATAAAGAAAATATATCCATGCAAGTATATAGAAAATACTTCCAACTTGTATAAAAAACAACCAATAAGTAAAATTCTAGCGTTGTTTAATACAGTATATACATAGGACAATTACCACTGCAAGTAAAGAGAGGAGAAAAATATAATTTACAACTAAACCAAGACAAACTTAAAACTTTAATTGAATCCATCAGAACTATAAAACCAAAAGGCAATTCATTTCTACTCGATGCGAGAGAGCCACCAGGGCCATAAAGCTGCTAACCATAACATCCATGCATAATGCACTAAAATACCTAAGTAAAAAAATGCATAATATCCTAGCCAAGCATAAAAAATTAAAAATCATATAAAACTCTATAAGCAATGCTACAGTTTAGTAGAAAATGAGAAAAGCTTTACAATTGATCATAACAAACAACACAAGACTGATTATAAAGCGATGAGATTTATGTTTCCTTAATTTTGATTTCGTTCTACTTGGTAAGGATTTGGTCCAAAAACCCTCCCATGCAAATTCTATTTCCTTGGAAGGAAGCAGATTTTTCCAGGGCCTCTTAAATGCAAAGGCCATTAAATCTGAAGAGCTACTCATAAGATATGATCAGATTATTTCTACATCTGTGAATAATGTACCCCTTGCAGACAAACTATAAGTTTTATTTCTTTTTTTAATTTTATAAAATGTAATACATGTATGTGCAGTTATAGACCCAAAAATTTTATATTATATATAGAGACAATACTCACACACAGGCTCGGTTCTGAGGGTAGTTTAGAGATGCGATCGCCTAGAGCCCAAACTTCAAAGAGGGCCCAAAGTAAAAATCATGTCCTACTTTCTCTTGAAAAAAATTTCAGCTTACAGTTTGCAGTTAAAAAAATAAAAAAATAAAAAAATAAAACCTTTTAATTCCTTGTACTTCACTTGCTATAAACGTAATTGACTCATTGACTTTTGTAAACTTAAAACTTCATTTAATTCTAAAATTTTACTATTCTTAACATTAAAGCTTATGGAGAATTTTAGTTTTCTCCAAAAAATTAAACAGTTATTAAGTTTGTAAAATCTACAGATTGTTATCTAAATATTTTAATTACTTATAGAATTTTTTTTACGGTCTCAATGACTATATCATCAATTGAAAGAAGTTTTTAGAGTTAAAATTAATCAAAACTTACCTAAGGTCATCAATGTTACAAAAACCGTTGAATGATTTCACAATTTTATCAATTGATAAAGAATTTTTAAAAAATATTAATATTAATGTTATCATTAATGATTTTGCATCTCAGAATGCTCAAAGAACTCATTTTTTATATTTTTTGTGTTTTTGTAGTTAATTATAATATAGAGTTGTTTGAATGAAAAAATATTTTTTTTATAATTTTATTAGAAAAAATTATAGCCACTTAAAAAAATGTATTATTTTAATAAAATTATTAATATATGTTTTTATTTTATTTATTACATTTTATAATTTTTTTAAAGGGTCCTAATTTTTTATTTCGCCTAGAGTCCCAAAAAAGTCAAGAATGACTCTGCCCACACACATATATAAAATTATATAAAACAGTAAAAATATAAAAAAAATTTCAGAACATTTAAAATGTATTATACATATAATTTAAAATAAATAAATAAAATTTTGGTGTGGCAGTCACCTTCAAAACCTATATAACTTTCGTCCGTTTCTATGTATATATGGGGAATGTGTGCAGAATTTAGGTGTTTTAAAAAATGTAAAATTCTTTTAAAAGAAAAAGAGTTGTGAAATAACAAGGGCAGATAAAAAGTATGATAATGTAGGTATATGTAATTTTTAGTACTATTTGGAAAATTTATGGAGTGTATCTGTGTATGCATAGACATGCAAGTTTTACTAGGGTTTCTAATTTATAAATCAAGGTAAAGATATGGTATTATTAGGTATTTGCTTAGACGAAAATAAGCTAGCTCATTACAAATTTATTAGGTAGTTTATATTTAGTCTTAACCAAGCTAGATTCATTATTTAATAAATAAAGTTAGGACTTTCTATTAAATTAAAAAAAAGACTTCAAACTATCAAAAGAATAGTTTACGACTAAATAAGTTGACCTATTTAAATAAATATAGATGACTAATATTATGTATAAAAAAATTGTTCAAATAAGTTTTCCATGTGAAATTTAATATTTTATTATATAAATTCTGATTTTGTCACTGAATAATAGTTTATATGAATTTTAATTTTTTCATTATTTTTAAAAATTATCAAGTTCATTGTTTGTTAAATTT